AGCTGAGTTTAGGAAAGATTGAAGGAGAGGCTGGTGAGGTGATTCCTATGATAATCTAAACACTAATTGAAAAGACCCAGGATTAAAGTGCTAATAGTTGAAATGTACAAAAAGGTATAAATGAAAGAAATATTTCAAAAAGACAAATGGCTAGTCTTGGTAAAATATTGGCTGTGACAAGAAGAGGCAGATAGAGGGGACTCCAAGGTTTTCAGTGTAGTCTGCAGGAGACAGCGGCATCATTTATGGAGACAGAGAACGAAGCAAGTGCCCCCTGGCCCTGAGTGCACACACTCACTCTGGTGCCATAAAACAGGTGCTGTAAGCCCTGAATTCAGGAGAAGGTGATTTCATCTTGGGCCTCATCCAAGAAGGTTTATTCCTGGAAGTCCTAGAAGAATTTCATGACAGCATAATTCTTCATTTATAACATGATTATGCAACTCGCACGTAATAGAAGAATCATAAGTAAGACTCTAGAGTATTTGCCTATTCTGAAAATTAGCCCAAAGCTCTGAAAGAAATTTGGAACAGCCTATAAAGCCAAATTGATGAAGAGTAAGAATACAAAAAAAAAAAAAAAAAACAAACCATGTATAACATGACCTGTATGTTGATCCTGACTTGGTTTAGACCCATGTTCACAGCCCCAAGAAATAATGTTACCATGGGACTGTTAATAGTAGGATGACCCGATTAAAGACTGGGCAGATAAAGTTGCCTGTGGGATGGTAGATATTTTTGGACTTCTCAGTAAGATTCCTGGAACCATTCTGTTTTCAGCATGGCCGGGCTTGACCTCCTCTTTCAAACTTTGGAAAAATAAATAACTACAGGTATGGGTGGGGAGGGAAGGGGTGAACCAGCAGGGTGCAAAGCTGTGCCTGGCTCCAGATCCCCAGCAGATCTGTGAGCCCATCAGTGTTGCCCTTTTAAGACCTATCCCCCACCTCTAATCCCCCAGGGCTTCTAACAAGTTTACATCTTTGATTTCCTAATTTATACTAAACAGCAAGAGGAGGTACTGTGAAACATTTCCTGGCATGCCCATCTCTGGCTCAAATATTGCTTGTTCACTTTGGCAAAAATGTTTCCATCTGAAAGTAATTTGTCCTTTCTAAACTTTGTATCATTTCTCTTTTCTATGGATGAATATTTTGCTGCAACATCTAAACTGTGCCTGGGATTTTCTCTGGGCAGCTAGAACTAGTGTCTAACTGGTACTGTGATGTCCCTTTCTGAGTGCCTAGCAGTCAAAGACAAAAATATGTGCTCAGAATGACTCCATCTTAGATAAAAGCCTTTCAGTGGGTGAGAGACATGGAGCAAGCTGTCTAAGCTATAGCTTGCAGCATTGGGAATGACCTCTTTTAATCATCTTTTTCAGGCTCAACAACTCACATTATATAATTCAACTCATGGTAGATGATACAAGAGGCATATGGGCAGCAGGATCTACCCCTAGAGCTCTGCAGTAGAAAGTAAGAGAAATTAGTCTTTTACTTACTTAGTCATTCATTTTTTATGGCTTGTTCTTTGGTTAGTCACTAATATGTAATATTTCACTTTGTTCATCTTTCTTGGTGGGAAATGGAAATGAATATGGAGATTTTTATAGGAATTTCTCTGGCATAGAAATGTGTCATGTCCTCCTATTGGTAGTGGATGCCCTATAAATATACATGTTAAATGTAGATGAGACTAGACCAGATGATCCTGATGCCCTGGAATTGGTGGAAGAGACCTAGGCTGTGGAAAAATAAAATCATGAAGGTAGATAAAGGTTTAAAAAACAGAAATTAATTTTGAAGGGGAAGGTAGAAACAGGAGCCATGGACTTTCAAGTCACTGATTCTCATGATTGAGTATGCATTGGAATCTCATGAAGGGCTTGTTAAAACACAGACTGTCAGCCCTACTACCGGACTTTCAGATTCAGTAGATCTGGAGTAATGCACAAAAAGTTGCATTTCTAACAAGTCCCCAGTGATGTTGATGTTGGTTCCAGGGATCTCACTTGGAGAACCATTTATCTGGATCATTTTCTTATTTTTAGATGCTACAGTTTAAAAGTGAGTATAGTGTTTGAGTTATAAAGTAGACTCAAACAGTGGAAGATTGAATAAGTCATTTGAAAAATCTTTAGAGTTTATTCCTGGCTTGGAACTGGAAGGGATGGCCACTCTGGACAATGGCTACTGTCACTTCCTGTTGTTTTTAGATACCACAGGAAGGTGGACAGCTATTCTTTTCCTCTCTGCTGCCATCCAGGGGATAATGGAAAAAAGCATATGAACCCATTTGTTTTTTCATTTAACAAATATTTTCTTATTATGTTCTACTCCCTTTTCTAGAAGTTGGGTGTTTAACAATGGACAAGATCAACAAAGATTTGTCAACTCATGGGACTTGGATTCTTTAGTATGGTGAAAAGAATTTAATTCAAGAGATTCCTTGTTCCCAAGGAAGACAATTTAGTGATCCATCAGATATTTTTATTGGTCACCTGCTCTATCCCTACTACTGTCATTCTCAGCTGGAGCTAGAACTAAGAATAAAATAGAATCCACACACTCAGGAGGCTTGAGGCTGCTAGAATTTGATTTGGGGAGTATTTGTTGTGAATGCTCATTTCTCACTAAGTGCTAAGCTATATGATACTAATTTCAAGGTCAGTTGTTCAGAGGTAGGGGAACCATTATGTGGGCTGGAGAACTACCAATTTGGCTTTTGGTTCTGCTCCCTTTTCTGTAATGTGCACCACTTGTGCTCACGGTAAAGCTAGTACTACACAACACCACATGGGCCTATGCCCTGGCCTAGTTCTTTCTCAGATAAACTGGATGTGGTGATCTCTGTGGACCACGGTATGCAGTGACAAACACTAGGTCGAGGCTCCCACGCTTCCTCCTGGCACTCCCAGCCCTGCTTTCCAGGGAAATATGCAGGCCAGCTTCCATTTGTAAATTGAGCACATGAGCTTTAAATTCTGCAAAGATTTCCTATTACAGCTGTGTTTTGTTATGGTACGGCAATATTTAACTAGAGAGTCTCTGTAAACAAAAATCTGAGGTAAAATTACAAAGAGAACAAATTGACACACACGGAAACAAAAGCAACTTAAAATGAAGAGAAACTGAAACAAATAAAAGGAAGAAATACTGAAACTGGTGTGAAACTTAACAAAAAACAATCCAGCACCGAGTGGAAAACTATCTATTGAAAGTATGGATAATCAATTGATCAATCAACCTATCAATACATCTGCTCTTTTTATCAAAAGAAAGCTTAAAAGAGGACAGATTTACGTTAACGTGTTTTTTGATGACTCTGGAAACAGTCAACAAGCCCATTTGAGTTTTGTCAATCTTCAAGAGCATAAAACAGATAAATCTGAAGGTCCTGATGTAACCCAGAGGGTGGTGGTCAGGTGCTGGAAGCATCCCTCCTACTGCAGGCAGGGAGAGGTGCAGAGTGTGGGATCTGGGATTCACATGAGGCTGGTGACACTCTGGCCTCTGCTCTTAATCACCCACCTCATTGCTTTAGACACAGTACTTGATACAGACCTGGATGAAAGTCCAAGACAACTGTCTGAGAAAGAATTCATGTCTTCAGAGCTCCAAAATCCAATCTCAGGATGTGAGGAGGTTTGTTTAGTTGGCTTATTATGTGTGTTCAGGAATGAGTGTTATGGGTAGAAAGGGCTTTGAGCTATGACACAAGACCACTGGATCCTTCAGTGACTGTGTGACCTTAAGCAAGTCCATGAATCTCTATAGGCATCATAAATTTTTATTTGCTTAAAATAATCTACTTCATATTTTTATAATTGCATTGAAAACAGCTAGATTGTCTATGTGGATAGAAAGCATCCTAAGTAGAAACATCTTAGGTCCTTCCTCTTGATTATCCCTCCTCTGGTGGCAGGTGTGGACTAACAAGGGAGGGAGGGACAAGGAGTTGATCTCAACCAAACCTTTTTCCTCTAGGATCTCTCTACACTCAGATCCTTTCTAATAACACCACAGCAGAGTGCACAAAAAAGGACTTTTGTCTTTTCACAAACATCCTTATAGTTGCCATTGGTTTTTCTTTCAGCTTTCTTTCCCCCTCTAACATATCTTTGTTGTTCATTTTAGCCCAATTTCATCCTCATGAAAGTACTTTTGGGTGGTTGGTCCTGTGCAATTTGTCCTGGTCAACAACCCCTAGGGATAGTCTAGCATGTGGGGTTAACATGGAGGTATTTTCTTTCTTAAATATTAATGAAATCAGCCTCTCTCAAGAATGTCTTCGAATCCCCTAAAGGTTCTTAGATGTTGCAGTTTGCATTTATCTATTTACACTAGCGAAGTTGTTGTACAAACAGGCACTTGGCAGTCTGTCAGTCAGGGTCCTTCTGGCTTCACATCACAGGGAGACAGAAGTGTGAGTTAAATGAGCCCAGCAGGCATTTAACCTCTAGGTCTGGAAAAATCCTGACTCATGGAGTGATTTGAGAGGTAGGACTTCGTTTTTGGTTAAAAAACTCAAAGTCCCTCAAACTAAAGTCTCTCAAAGTAGTGGATAAGAGCTAACGTTGAATGGCTACTCTGTGCCAGTAACTGTGCTAATAATCCCCAGAACAACTTACCATGTGGAAGCATTCTGTTCCTATTTTTCATTTGTGGAAACTGAGGCACAGAGAAAATATATTGATCAAAGACTCAAAACTAATAAGTGTTGCATACAGTTTATTTTCAGATCCTAGGCTTTTAACCATTGTTCTACACAATCCTAGTGCAAATGTACTCCCTATAGGTGTGCACTTTGGCATAGACACTTTCGGAACAATTTAGTAACATCTATGATAAGAAACACTCATTCACTAATTTTACTACCTTAGAAAAATGCATCCACTCATTCATTGTGAGGCACTGGTTGTACCACTGTTTGTGTTAGTGACTTCAACAGCCATCCGTAAGAATATGGATGAATAAACAATACTTAACATATACTGTGGAAAAATACATAGCTATTAAAAAAGAACAAAACAAATGGTATCATACAATTTATATTAGAGCTTATTTTCTCTGTATATAAATGTGTGTGAAAAAAATATGTAATAATGGATGCAGAATAATAGCAGTAGTTATTTCTGGGAAGAGCAGAAGGGAAGATAATAGGGCTGGTAATCAGAGGGGCTCTGAAGCTATTGGTAAAGTGTTCATTATTTTTCATGCTTTATTATGAATTTTCACTTTAATATCTGTTTATGTAAATGAAAATAGAAAATAAAAGATGGATAGACATAAATTAATTGATTAAAAATATTTTTTCCTTGTAAAATTTTAGCTGTAAAAATATCCTCAGTAGGATTATAGAATCATAGGATGGTGGGGCTGGAAGGGGCCCTAGAGATTTTCTAGTATAATATGCACATTTCACTAATGGATAAACTGGAGCCTGAGGAATTACATTGCATGTCTATAGTCTGGCAGAGTTCTTGCCTCAATAAAGCTGGGCCTTGGAGTCTCTGGCTTCCTCTGAGTTTTCATACTCTCCTCATCATAAGCTTGTGCATGCATGAGCCATCAACAGGTAAACCCTTGCAAAGTGCTACCTGTCAGATCCCAGGAGAGGTTGGCCCATGCAGGGTGGACTTGGTGTATGAACATTGATAACCCTCTGCATGAAGGGCTGCTCAGCCCCCAGCAACAGCCTTGGGCCAGATTTTTTTCACAGACTTTATGACAAGTCTCCCACATACGTATTCAATCATGAAGGAGTGTTTCTATATTTAAAACTACATTTTTTTGTTTGTTTTGGGTAGCTGTGTGGCTTGGATTTTTGTTTTTAATTCTTCTTTGAGAATAAAGAAAAGGAAAAAAATCCTACATTGCTTTCAGCTTGTGCAGCCTCCCCAGAGGTGTGAGATATAAACACAGTCTGTTTCCTGTGTGGCTTTCCCAAGGGCACTGAAAATGTGATATTTAATTGACTGTTCCATGTCTTCAGTTCCTTGGTGAAGCAGCAGAGAGACACAGTCATGAAATGAGAAAGAGCATCTGTGGTTGAATCATGGGGAACAAGAGCAGCTCAGGAGAAAAGAGCAGCTTCCACATGCATTTCAGACCTCAGAGGGATGCTTGGAGGGGGTGGTTTATAAGTTTATATTAAACCTAAAAAAAAAAAAAAAAGATTTTTTTTTTTTTTTTTTTGCATTTTCTTATATTCTTCTGCCCTTGCAATCCAGTCCAAGCTGAGCTATGTTGGCATGCTGTTAAGAAAATAACTTTGGTTCTCATTTTCATTGGAAGGAGTAGTAATAACAGTCAACTAACTTGCTGAGTGATAGTTTTAACGATTTTTTTTTTATAATTTGATTTTTTGCAATTGACTTTGTTTTCTAAGGCAAAAAGTAGGTTTACAGAAAAATTGAATGGAAAACTAAAAGTCCTCATGTAGAACCCTCTTCCCTCCAAAAGTTCTTCTATTACTAATGTTTCTCATGGAAGTGGCAATTTATTCTAATTGATGAGCATTATTTTTTTTTGAGAAAAAGGAAAAATAAGTTTTATTGCTTTGCTAGCCTCCTGTCTAAAAGCCTCCTGTCTGTGATTCTGCCCATCTAGGAGATCAGGGGTTTTTAAAAAGTTGATTCAAAATATACATACCATATGTTCCGTCAGGAGTTGTATTTCACTTGTTAGTTTGAGAGAGAGTCATTTCTGAGATCTTCTGGTACCATCCCCAAAGTCTGAATTATTTGGTTACTATGGTGAGTGTGTGCTCAAGGACAGATAATTCTACCTAGGATGGGGAAGAAAGGTTATCCTGTTTCCTCTGAGATTTGGGAAGGGAGAAAGGAAGAGAAAGAAACATGTCTATTTTAAAAATAAGTTGAATGGGTCTGTGGGTTGTATCTCCGTGGTAGAGTGCTTGCTTAGCATGTGTGAGGCACCTTACCTCAGCACCACATAAAAATAAATACAAAAATAAAGGTATTGTGTCCAACTGCAACTAAAAAATAAACATTTAAAGTAAATAATTTAAACAAAGGTATGTGTCCATCTGCAACTAATTTTTTTAAAATAAAAATAAGTTGCAGTGGCAGAGCAGCAAGAGCTATAGCCAAAGCATAAAGTAGGCTACCGTTATATGTCTCCACTGCCAGTTTCTACATTCCATTTCTATGTCTCTAAGTACTTCCTACTGAAAGAGGGTGAAGTTGGGGGAAGTGACCTAGGAGGTGAGGTGTGGACAGTGAAGGGCTTTCAGCATCAGGGCAGTCTAGAGGTCCACAGTGACAGATGGCAGGTGACTGGACAAGGCATACAGTTGGCAGGGATCATGCTAAAACAACAATAAACACAACAGCAAAGCATTACTTTTTTGGTAAGTAATTAGCACAAAAGCAATTAGAATTTCAACCAGTCTGTGAAAACATCAACCTATAGTCATACCAGTGAAAAACAAATCAAGTTTATCTATGTTGGAGTTTAGGAAGATTTTTTAAGTCTATGAGATCAGGCTCAAATTAACTCAGGACAAACTTATGACTCTAGAGTCCTTTGTGATAATTATTAGGAATTCCCATATAAGAGCCCCCTTCTTTACAGCCTCCAGTTTTACTTTTGGCAGGGCCAACACAAGTATACATCTTAATTTACATTAAAAAAAAATAAAAAACATTGTCCTTCCCTTTAAATCTCCATGTAGGATTGGGCTTTGGCTATTCTCTCCTGCCAAGTGTTTAAGACCAAGTTGGTCAAAATTGACCGTGTTCCTATCTACTGTTAAAAGTCAGCTGAGATTCCTCAGAGATTATTCTTGGAACATATATGAAGTCTCTTGGTTCCTTTAGTTTTCCTCTATCAGTGATGCTATCTGCTAGGACCATACATGGCTTCTCTTGGAAGCATCAGGGACATTTATCTTTCCAATGACTCTCCCATTTGCAGAATCAGTACTGGTTGACTTCCTCTTCTCTAGGGTCCCCTCACTCCCCTGTTCAGCAAATCCAGTGACTTACCAGTATTTCAGGGCCCATGTAGGGGTCTCAGATGAATACTATTAACTAAAGTCCTTGGTTCACACTATTAACTAAAGTCCAAAGTTCAGTCTTCAGGTTGAATAGCCTATGGATTTTGACTAGTGTATAATGACATGTATCGACCATTACAGTATCATAACAAATGATTTCTTTGCCCTAAAATTCTCCTATGCTTCACCTATTCGTCCTTGTCTTGCTGGCCCCTAACCCCTGGCAAACACCAATCTTTGTCCTTGTAGTTTTGCCTTTTTCAGGATGTCACTGAGATGAACTCATACAGAATAATTCTTTTAAAATTGGGTTTATTGAGACAAATTAACTCTTTTCAGGTACTAGGGGCTGTGACTGTTAACATGTGTATACAGTAGTATAACCACCAACACAACCAAGAAACAAAATGCTTCCCTCACCTAAAGATGTTCCCTCATGCCCTTTGTATTAAGTTCTTTATTGCACTTTTGATCCTCACAGCAAACCTCTGAGGAAGTAACTCTTCCTCTATCCACTTTACAGTGAAGAATCTAGGCACAGCATGTATTAGACAGCACAGTGACTAATTGACAGAGCCAAGATTTGAACTTTGGCAGTTTGAATCCAAAGTCCATGTTCTTACTGTTTGGTTTTAGTGCCTCAGCGTTCCATTTGTATACTCTAAAAGTGGATAGAACATACAATCAAAGGAAAAAAAAAAACCTTCCAATTTTTTCTAGTAAAGTACATATGGCCCCCCAAACAGATGTGACTTTCCCAAAGTACCATGTCATTTGTAAGATGAAACTAGAACCTTGGACTCCCAGCTTTAGATATGACCTCAACAGAATACTTTGCTCAATGTGTCTCAGTAAATGTTTGCTGAATAAAAGAGGAAAGAGTACACCCCCCCACACACAATATGTCATATATATGGGACAATATGGGCAGAGGCACAGGGGTTTAACACAAGCAGCCTAACTGAGGAAGAGGAAACGAGAACTTAGATACAATGGTAGAGTAGACAATCACTGTTCATAGTGATCCAGAGGGAAATGGTCTTTACTGTCATCTTCCCACGTGCCAGACATCACATAAGGGTCAATTATCTCACCTGAGTTTCACAGAATCTTCCAGAAGTGAATTCTTGCCACCTCTATTTCTTACATGTGACTATTTAAGCTTCAAGTGGTTAAGAAATTTGTTCAATGTCACACACCTAGTGATTGATAGACTGTAATTCAAACCCTGTTTTGTCAAAATCTAAAACTCTTTGTTTTCTACTGAAGCACAGTCTTTCTTAGGGGTTATATTAAGGCCTAATCTGATAAATCCTTTATCAGTTCTTAGAGAAGCAAAAGGGAAAAGTATTAATTTAGGGAACTGTGTTCACAGTGTTATATTTAGGACAGGGAGTGATAGAGGAAGAGAATGGAAGTAGGGTACCCAGCTAAAAAAGGTTGTATTGAATAATGTTGACACTGATGGGAAGGAAAAATATAGGTGTTATTTGAAACAAAACACAGCAATGAGAAAAATATACATTTCTAAGAGAAATGGGGATGGGGGAGCAGTTAAGGTTAACCATGAGATTTGGAACTATCAGAGAATGAAAAAAAAAAATGATACTTCCTTGGAAAGAAAAGATAGGCCTGGGAAATGGAATCATGTGGGTGGGGGAAGATGATGACATGCTTAGTTTGGGACATGTTGACTTGAAAATGATGGCTAAAGACATAAAAGGAAATATGTTGAAATATTTGAAAATATGAGTCTAGATAAAAGTCAGGACACAATATCAAACTGGAAGCCTTCTGCACTGAATAAAGTCATGAGTCTATCAAGGAAAGAAATTTAAAATAGAATCTTGAATCACACCCACAATGGGTGATAGAAAGACAAAGAGAGTCTAAGAAAGTTACTACATAGGGAATAACTAGAGAAGTAAAAGGAGAGCAAAGATGGGCAGATAGATGGTAGATAGGTAGATAAATGGATAAATAGATGGATAGACCAACGGATGATAGAAAACTCTTAGCTGTAGTTAGACAGGGAAGTTGCCATGAAGAATATATTTAGAAAAAGTTTACAGAAAAAGTAACTAGCAGTCAAATAGCATAAAGACAGTGTATCAATTAGGACACCGGATCAGCTTTCTATAACTAAGAAATTTAAAAAGACAGTGTTAGATGATTCAGGGATGGTATGGTGATTCCATGATCACCAGAGTCCCAGGGAACTTCAGCCTTAATACTCTGCCTCTTAAAACTAGTCTTACTTTTCATGGTCTAAGTTAGTTTCTCCACTTCTGTCTGACATTTCTTTTCGAGCCTGCAGGAAGAAAATGGAAACAGAGAAAACCTGCCTCAGAAGTTGCACATATAACTTCAGTTTGGATCCCATGGTCACACCTAGCTTCAAGGGAATCTGGAAAATATGTTTGAGCTGTCACGCGTCCAACAGTTTCAACTCTTAAATGTGTAATAAGGAAGCAGGGACATTGGGGAAAATCCTCACCATAGATGAAAGAATAATAATTTGGAAAAGACCCTTGAATTTGACAAGTTGTTGGCACTTACAGATGTCCATTAAAGACAGGTGTGGTGGCATACACCTGTAATCCCTGCAGTTTGTGAGACCAAAACAGGGGAATAGCAAGTTTGAGGGCAACCTGGGCAACTCAGCAAGACTCTGTTATAAAATAAAAAATACAAGGGACTAGATATGTAGCTCAGGAATACAGTGCTTCTGGGTTTAGTTCCCATACTACCTACTCCCAACAAAACTCTATTTAACTCTTTTTTTTTTTTGCATCTATTCTTGTTTCCTTCCAAGCCATCTTCCATACTTCAAGTTAGAAATAAGTTTCTAAGATGTAATTCCTCTGCTTAAAGCTTTCATTGGTTCTCCAGTATTTCCAAGATAAAGTCTCATACTCTAAAGATTGCTATCATAGTTAAAACTCTCTCTTTACTCTTCTCTTTATTTTTATCTTTCACACACCCTATTGCATCCTATATTCATATGTCACTCTGTTTTTTTTTTTCCTTTTTTTTTGTACTGGGGATTGAACCCAGGGGTGTGTTGCCAGTGAATTACATCCCAAGCACTTTTTATTTTTGATTTTGAGACAGGGTATTGCTAAGTTGCTGAGGCTGGCCTTGAATTTAGTATCTTGAATTTGGTATCCTCCTGCCTCAGCCTCCAGAATCACTGGGATTATGGGCATGAGCCACTGTGCCAGGTTCACTCAGTTGCTTTTTTTTTCCCCCAGTTGACTAGAATGCAGTGCTTTTTTTCTTATGCTTCTGAGGTATTGAATCCCTAGTTCCCTCCTTTTGTATGCTTTCTCCTACTTTGGATGGATTCCTGTCTTTCTTCAGGTTAGATACCACATCTACCATGGTACTTTCATTGATCTCCAAGAACTGTGTTTTGCCTGTATCTATTTATTCCAGAAGTACTCTACATGACAACATATACCACTTATCCAAATCTGTCTTGGCTTCTATGTGCTATCCACAAAACTATTAGTTCCTTGAAGATAAAGATAACCTCTATTCAAATATGTGCATCCAGAGGTTCTTCCAGGGCTAGAATAAAGTAGGAGATCCAAAAGTGTTGGTTGAATAAACAAAAAGCATAACTCCAATGAGAGAAAGACTCAAAAGGTATCATTTATTAAAGCAAGTGAAAATACTTATTTTTTTCTGCCTGCATAATGTTGTTTATAAGGCTTGGGCTTCTCTGCTTCATAATGAGACACTTTTCACTCTGCTGA